TATATTACTTTTCAATAAAATAAACTGAATTAAGTTTGAATACAAGTTTATTTTAAGCTTTTATATGAATTTCTTTCAGACATTCGAAGTAATTTATTAAGCAGCCTATTTCTTTTAATTTCTGCAAACTTTTTTTATGTGGTTTTAAGTTAATTTTAACTCGTTGTTTTGGTTTTATGCGATTTTAGAAAATTACGGAATGTATCACTACTTTTTCAAGGCAAGTAAAGTCTTTTTTTATGCGTTTTTCTGTAGAACGTATCCACCGCATAAAACGAGACCTTACAGTATACATATTCCCAATGGAAGCACTGTATTGTCAAATACGGGACAGCTTCCACGGCAAAAATATTTGAACGGTGTAAAGCAGCCAGATTATAGGCATTCTTGCATGCACTTTACAGAGCACCAACCTCACAGTTTAGCTGGTGGATGCTACACACCAAAATTTACTATAACACTTCCAATGATTCTATCCAGGGCTGGCACAGCTTCCGTATCATTAAATGTCACCACACGCCACTGGTTATCGTGTACTAGACAATTTCTATCTTCATTCCCATAATTTCACATAAAATTTGCCACTTTTTGAAGTAACTTTTGCAAAAAGTTTGTGATTTAATTATTAATAAAAGGCAAACTGTTTGAAGTGAGTAAATATCTCTACTGATTTACATTTAAATAAAAGTTGAATAAGCAAAATTATAAAGGAATTTAGGTAAATTGGAAGTCATAATGTGAAATAAACTCATGGAAGAAGAGTCACAACTTCAGATGAAGATAAACATACTTGAGGAGGTGTTGGGCCAATAAAAAGACACTGACACAAATTACAAGTCTGTCAAAGAGACGTCTGTTAAAACTGTAAGCTGCCATTTAACGGAATTAGGGTTTGTTTCTCATGCCGCATTAAATAAACTGCTTCTAACAAAACATATGAAACATATTGTTTGCGTTGGGCACCCAAACACAAAAACTGGACGACAGAACAGTGGAAGACTGTTTTGTTTAGTGGCGAGTGTTTTTCATTATTAGGTGATGGCTGTCAACGAGTTATTCCTCAGACTGATTAAAAAATATCATGCAGCTTGCCTAAGCCAGTAAATTAAATTTTTCTCAAGTATAACGGTGTATGGAACATTCTGTAGTGTTTTCTTAAAGGAAACAAATGCTACTGCTTATGTATAATCTCAACTGCACAATTTTATTATGGCAGAAGATGGGGAGAAAACTTTGAATTTGTTTATTGAAAAGACTTCACTTAAACTCTTTTGAAGAATTCTGTGTTGGGACAAAGCCACTGTTTCAAAGGAGAAGAGCGAGAGCAAAGCCACGAGCTGTAGCAACTTTGAAAATCACAGTGGAAGGAATATGCTTTGGTCGAGCATAATATAAGAACAGTACATAATAACACAATAGAATTAATGATTATTTCTATTAATATTCTAAGAAGTGAGGTAATAGTTGAAATTAAAGTTTAAGAACTGTGTTTTTTTTTTTCCACGCATGAATAACTTTTTATGCAATTAGTTTCTGTAATACTTTTTAAATTACCACAGGCACATAGAAGGATGAGGATTATCACACATGCCATTGATATTTAAATCAGTGGCACGTGTTATAATACTCGTCCTTTATCCATAGTTTGGTTCATAAAACTTGGTTAAATTCATTTGGTTCTCGTTCAGCCTTTTGTTTTACATTGAGCATCGACACAGTATAGCAGCTCCTTGAGCTGTGGTGTGTTGCTAGTAATCTTGGTCCACATTATCGCGATTTAACGATTTTATTTTTAGACAGATTCGGTTGGGCAAATTGCGGTACGATGCGCGTATCTTAGGTTACGTTATAAGCGATTTTGGAGGAAACGAGTGTACAGAGGCGAGAGTAACTTTGGTCCATTCTTCGGATATTTATAATTGGGCACGATATTGTTCACACGCTTTGAAGCTTAACTCCTGTGTTTTTTGTGGAAAATTTCTGAAATTTTGCAGGGAGGTTTGTGTATCAGGAGGATTGATGCTGTTAAATTTTGGTGGTTTAAGGTCGAGTGGTCGGGGAAATAATGGGGGGGGGGTCGTGTGTATCTTCAGTAGGGTCGGACTTAATGAAGATTTTAGTCGTTATTAGCATTTACAATTTCTTATAAAAACCATCCCTAGCCTGAAAACTAAGGTTTTGACATTTCATAATAGTTAAAAATATAGAAAGTTTTAAATAAAATATGAGAATGTTGCTGGGAAAGTTGAGCAATTGGTTGCTAGTTTATTACTGTTGAGTGAGGATATAGTTCCAGTTTTGTTTAATATTTCACTAGTCAATTTCCTTTACAATTAATTTGGTATAATTAATACTTCGTATGTAAAGATGGATAAGAATCGCGTTCGAGAATGTCGTATGGCCCAGTAGAAACGGGGCCTAGACTATAAACAGCTTTGAAATTTGTCAAGCCATTTACTTTCTCGGCAAGTTGTACGCGTTGTTATAAGTGTAATTGAAATTAAGACACTGTTTTTAAGACGATTATACCGAAAATAAATGGATAACGATCAATTGACGGTTACTTTAATTAGAGATAATTATATACATATATTTGGTAAAACGGTGACGAATTCTGTTGTCCTTGCTAGGTATAATAGTAGTGTATATGAGGTTTTGGCAGATTTTCGAACTCGATGCGGTTTCCAGTTAACGGCTCGCTCCTCTCGACGGGTCCCGAATCGTCCATCTTGAAAACTCCACCGTGCAAGATGAGGAACTTGTCACGCAGGATCTTGTCCGGATCCAGATAATCTCCCCTGTTCAGACTGGCGTGATCGCTTCCGTACTTCTTGCTCCTGTCGAAGTCGATGATGTTGATCCTTTCGTCGTTGAACTTGAAGATTTTGGGGTATTCCTCGGCCAGGAGTTTGTTTTTGGCGAGGGATTTGGGAGCGGGCACCCCGTCCTTGCGGCGGAACAGTTCGTTGACGGGCGGGGGGCCCTCCGCCGGTTTGAAACGCGCCCGTGGCGGGTGAGTGGGCCGAGGGGCGACCTCCTGGACGTCCCTGTACACCGGCCTGGGGGTGGTGGGCGTCAGTTTGACCAAAATTTCTGTTATTCCCGGGAAGGCGTTCAAGTTGGGGAACTGCCTGAAGCCCGGCAGGCCGTCGAAGAAGGGTCCGAACTGTTTGCGCAGGTTGAAGGGATTGTTGTGGTCGTGATCCAGGACCGCGTGGTACTCGAATCCGTGAGGTCCCACGTTGGCGAAGTAGAAACTCTGGTCTTTGACGGGGATCCGATCCTCCGAGCTTTGTATTTCGGTCTTCTTGTTTTCGGTTTCGTTCTGTAGTAAGGATCCGGCTGCGGTCAGTTTTAAGGCGACCAAAATCAATAGGGCTTTGGTCCTTATTCCTTCCTGAAATGTTAAACGAGATTTAAGTGGATATTTCAAAACTACGTTTTCGAAATTCTCGCGGCTCTCGCGCTTTCGGAGGAACGGATTCCCTGTTAAAAACACGCCCGAAGAAAATTCATCGACGTTCACCTGTTGTTAGGGGAATTAAATTGTGACGTCATCCATTTCGACTGGATTATCTTTCACGGGTTCATCTCCGCGTTTGTGTGTTTATCTGGCAATAAATAAGGTACAACTGCAATTACGACGATCGTTCTGTCCCGATGCCGTCACCGTTCCAGTTAAAATTCTTCCGGAACGCTAATAATACGTGGCAATTTTTTAAATAATTTCTCGGGAACGTGAGTAGAACGTAAACGCTTCGAGGATCTTTGCTATCGCTTTATCTCGGTGCCTCCTTCCCCTTTAATTTTTCTAATGGCTTAACCACGAATGCTTAATTTCTTCGTGAGATCTGCTTGGCTAATTTAGCAATTTCATTTTACGAAGCCATTTGTGTGCGCCATCCTCCACCCTGGTCGGGTCCCGTAGATCCGACCGGGGTGGAGGATGCTTTAATTAAATTTTCGGCCCTCCTTCGGCTTGCGGCCCGAAATGATGGCATTCTATTGTTCGGGAACCCAAAAATTCGACTCGGTTTTACCCAAAACGGTGGTTTTTGGACCAGCTGTCTCTGGTTAAACGAGCTTCTGGGGCGTTGCGAGATTCTCGATGCCCATAAATTTGTCAGAAGTTTAAATTATCGGGTACGGCGCGCTTCGAAAAATGACCCGAAACCATTTATCCACCCAAGGTCTTTGCGTTTACCATAATTTAATTTCGTCCGGGCGCATGATTGCCACACTGGCGTTCCATTTACCCACACCAAAACGGAGGAACTCGACTACGAAAACGGCGGCGATTAAACGCCATTCGCACACTCGCCGCGCGCAATTACGGAGGGGAGGAAGTCTATTTCCCAAATCCGAGGTTGTGAACTCTCGAATGACGTCACGGTCTTCTACCCGGGTTAAGATTAAGAGGTCGGCAAAGCCGGCTTTCGGAGGATTCTGGGAACAATTCCATCGAGCGTGAAATACACTTTTAGGCTGGCTGACCGCGGGGGACGAAAAAACGCTCCTAAAAAATCGCCGGCGACGTCGCGAATGTAGGAAAATTCTCTCGGCGACGAGTTATTAAAAACAAAAAGAATGTAATTATTTAATTTTGTAAAAAATGGGCAAGGAAAGTGACGTTCTGTCCGGACCGATCCGAGTAACGGAGATTTAACCTTGCGGAATTTAATGGAAGTGTCGATAAGGCGAGAGAAATTCACCGCTTAAAAAAATGTTTAAACTTGAACGAAGAAGAAGAAATCTTTGTTAGAATGCATAAAAGGTGGGAGAATCGAAGTAATTACGCGGATAGAATGCGCAATTTTCTGGTGGAAGTGGAGGAGGTGACCACAAAGATTCGCAAATCGGAGGATCCGATCCATGCTTTAAATCGATGGCTAAGAAAAGAAATTAACTAGATTATTTCTTAAAAAATTAAGTATTGGAGGCAAAGAAGGGGGGGATGATCTCTGCTCGCCCTAATCATCTTTCGCTGTGCGTGCGAAGAATTTTTAAATATAGAAATGGCCTTTCTTTCGGTGGGATTTCGTGACTTAAATTGTTAATAACTCGTCTGCCGGTTGAGCAATACAAACAACCTCGTTGCGGAAATGGGGGTCGAATTTTCTCTTCGTGACGTACCGGAGCTAACGAGGTGCAATCTTCGGCTCTTCTTCCGTCTTTCCGCGCGACGCGACGGGATCGCGTCGCAAACGGTGGAGTGGCGAAACGGCGCGTGGAGTCGCGTGGCGGCGTAACCGCAGGCGCCGAAGTGACGTATCGCCGCCGAAAATTTCGGGCATTGTCTTAATTTGAATAGAACACCGGCCTCGATCGACACGCACTCGATCGATGACGTATTTAAATACTGGAAGTGCCTGTTTCCCGGACAATGCCAAATTGTTTATTCAAAGGTCGTTCGTCTTCGGTGTGACGATCCGTATTTTGTTTTATTAATTGTCACGGGTTGTAAGATAAATCTAGGGTCGAAAATAACAATAATTGTAGAATTCTCCAGAGAAATTAATTCTTTTCGTACTTTATACAGTTGGTTTTTTTTTGTATTGTATGACCTAGTATTGTTTGTTTTGTAAAGAACTAAATGTATGTACCGGTTACATGCCGATAATTTGCAGCGTGCGTAAAATTTTCAGAAGGACTTAATTCCTTGTCTAGATTGCACCTTGTAGAAACACGATAAGCTTGCGCCGCGTCGCAGAAACGCGCGGGAGTGCGATTGTCGCGTGCTCTGTATTTAACTGGTGTGTCGTCGATCGCGCCACCGCTGCTGCTACGTAAAACGTATCTGTTTTCCGAAGCTCTATGTAGCGCTCTGCGCGTGGTAAAAGCGAAGGCGAAACGTAAACGGGTGGTGATCCGCGAGGAGACGAACGTCACGAGAGAAACTATTTTATGAGGGATTTTTAAGTACGAACGTGACGCGTCTCCGTAAGGTCGAGGACGTAAGCGATACGCGAGGATTTTCTCTAATCGGTCGTGACGACACGACTGGAAAACTCGCCCTTTGCTCGTGCACTTTCTAGGCGAGGTCGTAAAACCCCTCGTCACACCGTTTACATTTCGGTAGTGTCTGTTTAATTGCATACATACGAGTGGGCGTGTTCGAAAGTAATGCTCCGCGAGAACGTGCGGTTGTATAACCGTATCACTGGGAAGATAATGTGTTTACGTTCCCCCTCCCCCGTTCCGAAAACCTGTCGATGAAGCGTGCGAAATTGCGGATGCGGAAAGTAGAGCGATCCTTTTCCACGGTTAGCGACTAAAATGCAATTTGATACGTTCCGCCTATTGTTAGAAAATGTAATCTTCTATACGGATTTAAACGTTAAGATGCCGTGGGAAAGATCGATCGAAAGCACCCGCTAGCCAAATTCCATTATAAACGTGTGCAATTTCGTAGATGGGGAGGAAGGGCTCTTCCTGTTATTTTTTAGCATTAGATACGAACATTCGGGTGTCGAAGAACCTAAACACTTCCAAAATTAACGGGCCAATATGTGAAAGGGGGGAAGTGTTCGCGTAAAGGGTCGTTCCAAGTTCTGTGTGGGGAGGGAATTCTAATTGAATCTCGTTACGAGTGTGTTCTAACCGGAGGCGTAACTTAGGGGTAAAAAAAATCGCTAAGCGCGACGTAATGCGATAATTACGACACTCTTTTCTTTCTTGGCGAATTATTCGGATACTTGGCTTTGTTTTTCGGCATTCCCTCGCCTCGAACTATTGTTGTTTCGGAAGAATTAGTTAATTGTTAATTGTGCGAACCCGCCCGGATATGTCAATTAAGGTGTCGTCCCGCCGTTACTTAAGTATGCATGTATGCGAAGTACGTGAATTGCGCGTGTGATGAGCAGACCCGGAAGTAATATATTAATAAATAAAAACCCCAACCCTCCGGTTCGGGGTCACGTCGGAGTGTTGCGACTGAGACAAGTTAGCGGCTGCTTTAGTTTTTTATTTCACCTACAATCGTTTTTTTTTTCCATTTCGAATTTCGATTTTCGCAACGTTTCTCCTGTACTAAATAACTTTTTCTCTCCGTGCTGCCCCTAGGTCGTGTTACGATTTATCCGTCCCGTGCGTTTTTACCTCTCTCGCTGCGGGTTTGCAATTGTTACGCGCTTTGCGTTTAACTGTCGCGTCGTCGATTCCGTCGCGTCACGCTTGCGAGAGAGCGCCGTCGTCGTCGCTGCGTGTTCTCGTTACCGTCATCGGACTTCTGAACAATTAAAATTCGAAACCCGTGTCAAGTTTCGTCTGATTTCTTCCCCTCCCCACGGTCGAATAGAAGAGCGGCCAAGCCAGAAATCTCACGAAATATTCGGATTTTCTGAAGGCTCTTACGTTTTTTATAACAACTTCTCTGTGGGTAAGTGACACCGATTTCCACACGAGGAAACGGAGCCGCCGATGATCTACCCGTTCGATCGTCCATCAAAACCTCGTTAAAACGCTTCGAAACGAAACCGGATCTCGAAAACTCCGTTATAAGAAAGGAGGCAAAAGAAGAAGGGGGGAAAACGAGTAAATGAATTAACAATGCCGGCTCTCACTAATTTTAAGGAATGGTGGTTCACTTACCTTTGCCATGACGACGATGGGCTGAGGATCTCGCTCTCGCTGTCGTTTTTACAGCTTCATCTCGCTGTCGGGATCGGTTTACCGTTCACAACTTTCCATTTCGATTGGCGGTTACGCTAGAACTGGTTACGTGTTGCATGTGTTTAATACCGACGATATGGCTCTTACCGGTCGTGTGGAGGTCCCGAGGTCAGAGGTTTGCGATCTTCCGTGCCGCTTCTGATTGGACTGCGCCGTGAAAGGAGAGGGAAAACTGGGTCGTCGCTTATGTTACTCGAGCGTGTACGCGCCGCGTGCGATATGCAATGTCCGTGCCTATTGGAGGAATCTCCTGGCTCTTCCCTCCCGAAAATCCTTCCAATTGAAAATTGTCGAAGAAACTGGCTTGTCTCTCCTCGTCCGTGGCTTCTCGTTCTTGTTTTTTTTATTCCGGAGGTGCCGCAGAAGAGGGTTTTAGATTATGCTGACATATTTCTGCCTAACAATATGTACGACTGGCGGCTACACCCTGTTACAAGTTTATCGGTTTTAAAAGCCACCGTGACCTACTGGAACTAAATTCCACATCTCGAAAGCTGGAAAAAAAAAAGGAACCGGGTGACACACAATTCGGTTCTTTCCAGTAGATAACGGCGATTTTGTGTAGTCTGCGAGCAGAAATCCGAGCGAAACCTCACGCGGTTTACTTAAAAGTGTAATTTATTTATTTTTTTTTTTTGTTAGAATTTGTTTGGAATTGGGTCATGGATGACTCACTCGCCAGACAATAAATCAAAATCGCGCTTATCATTCGCCGTTCGATCATCGATCTGCGGAAAACTATGCGAAAACGGCGGATATTCTTCTACTTTTTACGCTCCTGTTACGGTTCGCGTGCCAGTTTTCTATACGTCAACACGCGAAATTTAGTGAAAATCGGATTCGGGCGCGAAATTCTTAAAGGGAAATTCTTCGTATTAAGGTCAAGAAACAATATTCCCCACTCATTCGAGGAAAGTCAAGGTTTCGTTCTTCCTCCGCAAATCGTATCGGGTGCGTGGCACCTTTTTTTTTTTTTATTATAAATCCAACGTCTTAAGTGGGGGAAAAAAGGAAGAGTAGACTTTCGGCATCTCTTCATTTTTCTCATTCCTGCGTCCTACTTTCGTGTGATGTAACTGTTGGCTGAGGTCGTATATTCTCCCACGACCCGTCTTGATCCCGGTGGAATCTCCCTTGTTTAAACAATGGAAGCGACGTGACTACCACCTACTTATTTTTACGGCGCGATGCGTGTCCTCTTTTCTCGAAAAAATTCGTAATATACGTTCGGACACACTTTCACCTTCGGGGGAAAAAAATAATCCTCTGTGAATACCCCGGACGGGATTTACAAATAGCCCATTGTTTCGTCACAGAGCGTCGTTAATTTTATGGCAAAACTAAGTGGTTTTCCTCGATTGTGTGGCGTAAATTGTTCGGTTTTCCGTATCGGGAAGTGAAAATTGATAACATTGTTAAGCGATAAACCGGGATTTTGTGTGTGTGTTTTGTATTCTAGTTAACTTTTTGTCCGCAACGAATGGAAAGTTGTAAGCGGGAAGTGTAATCTGCGCGTGTTTTTTTTTCTTTTGTGGGCATTTTCGCTCGTATTATTACGTAGAAAAATACGTAATTTAGCGTCTAGTGTATCTAGTTCAGAGGGGAGAAGAATAAAAAGTCTCGATCCGTGTAGAGGAAGGGTGGAGCTCGCGCATTGTAATTGAAATCGTAAAAACCTCGCGAGAACGAGCTCTGCCGTCGCCGACGAAACTGGGCTACGACGTTCCCGCGACGGGATTAAAATGCTTTTATCTGTTAAAAATGCGGTTTGCCCGGGTTCTTTTTCTTCGTTTTCTCGTGTTTTGTGCGCGCGCTTTTTTTTTCCAGATCGGATCTCGAGCGCTTGCCGCGTTTCTTTTAAAAAAAAAATCTCGCTATCGCCGTGTCGCCGGCGAGAGTCGCGCGAAGTTTTTAGCTCTCCGGTTTCGAAACGGCCTTTTCGTTTTGCATATTTTAAATAGTTAAAAAGTAAATAAGAGTTATTAGATCTGGTTCAGACGTTACATAATGAAAAGGGTTATAAAATACGAATTAAAAAGGAGGAAGGGGGAAGGAAAATAACCTGATTTTCAGCGGAGTGTCCGACACTTCGATGTAGAAACTGCGATTTTCCGTAATTTACGACGTCGTGCTCGCGCGTTAGTGGAATCTGTGAAGAAATTTAAAAAAAAAACAAAATGATTTATAATTCGGTTGCTTTGGGGGGGCGAAATTTTTAAGCTGAGAATTAGCCGGTTGGGAAAATGGGCACAATAACGAGTAAAACTTTCGATTTTTACGCGATATTTTAAGGTAAAAAAAAAAATTAATAAATTATTCGTAAATTGAGTAGATCGGTCATTCGAATTTCTCGGATGCGCCGGTTGCCGAGTGTACTCGTTTCGTTTACTGCAACAAACGAGTTTAGTTTGCTTCGGGGAGGCTTCGGACAGCTGGAGAAAATAGGTCTTCTCTGTCGAATCGATAAATAATAGGTGAAGTGTGCTCGACGCATGCACTCGATTATGTTTAATGATGGGTTTGCGGGCAGAGTTACGCGTTTGGAATGGAAGGTCGCGTCTCGAATGACAGTTTTTAATACGGAGTGGAATTTGGTGTATTTTATTTTAACGATTGAGGTGTTTTGTTCTTTGTTCCTGTTGAGCGAAAAGTTGCTAGGAAATTAAGATTGGATCTGCTGAATTTGGTCCCTTTTAATTCACTTCCTGTTCCAACGACACCACCTTTCTTTCCTTTTTGGGCCATTTGTCTTTCGAACGGTGATAAAAATGAAAAATTTCTAATAGATTTTTTATTAAAGAGAAACGGATGCGGAATAAGCTGCACCGTGTTTCTGTTACACACGTCTCAAACTTTTTATTCAGTTAGAATGTGCTGCTAATAAGAAAACTTCCAAAGCATTCTCTGTTGAAAAAGTTCACGAAGAGTTCTACTTAAAATCTTTAAATGTAGCACAAAAAGAAAGGTCGGTGCTGTCATGGTAGAATTCTTGGAACCGAAAGCAAGCGTAAATGAATGGATCAAATTTGATGGATTTTGTCTTAATTTTTATTTGCAAGGTAAAAAGTTGCCTTTTGAAAGCTTTTGTTAAAGTAAGAAATGTCTTTTATCTGAAATGTAACCCACTTGTGGGTTAGAAATCTAAAAATGATTTTTAATTTAATGATGTGGAAAGAAATACCTTTATGATCATTAATGTCGGAAGCGTCGTGACAATTTATGGATTGCCAAACAATTGAATTACTTTCTGCTAAGAATAAAGTGGATCCATAAATTGTCTCCACTAGACTCTGTTCAGAATGGTGTCGGTTGTTTTGATAAATGTTTGAAATTATATCGGATTAGAAGATTAAATCTGCACCTTTTTCCGATTTCGTCCTCAAAAAGCACAGTTTACGAATGATTACATTGCTTTAAAACTTGTGGTCATATAATAAATTTACGGCCACGAGTAGTAAAATGACGTGAATGGTGTAAAAAAATAAAGTTACAAGATGATAAATTAAATATAAAACGAGTCATGCATCGAACGTGCAAATTTAATTTGTCCTGATAATCGTACATTATTGTAAATAATTAAAAATATTTATCTCTCCGCAGCGAACATGGCACCTTCGGAGCTGAAAAAGTTACGAAACAAACAGCGAAAGGCCAGGAAAAAAGCTGAACTCGAGAAAGAGAAACAGACGGCCGCTCAAGAGAAAAGGGAACAGCATATTAAGTCACGACAGCAGCAGGACGGAGAAATAGACGGGGTGAAAGAAGAAGAATTAATCCCCGAAAAATTAGCCAGAGTATAAAAGTTTAATGCTTTCTTTCATATTCAAAAAACTATTTATTTATTGTGTATTTATTTTTAAATTTTTTAAACTATTTTTCTAGAAATTTTTATTTAGGACTTTGTATTCTAAACAGTTTATTTAGAATACAGTATTTTAGATCAGATCTAGCAAGTCACAAATATAGAATCTACCTCGTCAGAAAGGTATAAAAATGCAAAAAAAACACTAAATTTGGGGAGTTCTTTTCATCTCAGAAATGGATCAATAGTCTTATTAGTGCCTTCTCTATCTGGGCCAGCTTTATATTTAATCTTATTTATAAAAATTACTTTAAATAATGATAAAATTTAGCTTGGAGTTCAATCTCGTTTCAAAGTTTACATTAGAGCAGTTTCCTGAATTTAAGCCATTCTATTACTTAGACTTTACGTCGGCTCTTTTGGAGTTGTTTGAGTCGTCTAATATAATTTGCATTAAGAATGCGGACGGGTTAAGATTTACTTTAACTTCGTGTACGTGCATGCATGCGATTTTATGAAATTCCTGCATTTTTTACAGTTCGTTCAAGTAAAATATAGTACAGGAAAATATTTTCATAACTCCTTAAAAAATTCAAAAAATTGTCACTTAGGTTATTAACTTTAGCTGTCATTTTATTTGTTTTTTAAAATTACTCTTTTGAGAAATTTTCATTTAAAAAATATATTTTTTTAAAATTCATTTTTATAATAAGCTACGACATTTTGCCAAAATTTAATATCGTTGCTATTTCTTCCGTGGACACACTTCAGTTTTTTTACCATAGTAAAAAGCTTTTGGTCATACTTCAAATTTTTAGGTTTTCTTTTTATTTTTTTAGTAAAGTACAAAAATGTAAACACTTTATCAATTTTATTTCATTTTTCATCTTTTTTGTATGGTAAAAAAAAGTATTTCCTTGTTTTTTTCTACTTTGAAACATATTTGTTTTTTTTCACACCGTTCTTGCATATCGGATTTAAGGGAATAAACCTTACGCTTTAGATCCACGACTGAAAGATGTCGGAATCCAAAAAAAGTTAATATTTCTGGTTTGGCAGTCCGTAATATCTGATAACGTGAAGCTGCTTTGGTCTCTCTTCTTGACGTGAAATGTTAGAGCAGAGGCAGACTTCGGACGTCTTGTGAAAGACAAAGTGGAGTGCGTTGTTGGAGGAGTCTGAAATCCTGAAATAGTAATTTTGACTTCTGCGAATAGCTCTTGAAATTTCAACGAATCTACGAATTGTTATGTTTTTCTTTTTTTTCTATATTCTGAAATAAATGAAGTAAAATAATTTTAAAAAATTTTATAATGCTTTTGCTTGTTTTGTATAATATTCTAAAAACATAGTTTGATAAAAATTAAATTGTTTTTTTAACAGATAAAATTAGTCATTTTTAATATAATTTTAGCATTCATCAAGATGATTATTATTGATTAATAAATGATAATAAAAGTATTAATGAGGAAATGGCAACGGATGACACTCAATCAAAATGTTGTGTTTTTTTATTTCAGGTGGAGGATCCGCTAGAACAGTCGATTAAGTTCTTAAAGCCGCTTCAGCTCCTGGCTTCAGATAAGCTCGAAACTCATCTGTTAGCATTCGAAATATACTATCGCAAAGATAAACCGTTATTAATGTTACAGTCGATAAAAAGAGCCTGGTCACTTGATCCTACACATCCTAATGTGCATTGTAATTTAGTGCGCTTCCACGCTAGAGGTAAGTTAATAATTACTCCGTATCCTCTTAAGAACAAAGTAATTTGAACGAATCGTGCTTAGTTTGTGACTAAAACATTTGCACTATCTTTTTGATTTTGTTGTAAGAAGGTTGGATTTTAAACAAATCCTAAAATGTTACAACAATTGTAAAACCAAATGCACAAACTGCCAAATTTTTTTCTAAATAACTAATTGGTTAGATAGTTACATGCTAAGATGCTCTAAAAGAATGATTTTGAACCTGAATTCTGGAAATTTATCATGGTATAAGTTGGGCACACATTTTCAGTCTCTTGTCTGTGCCGGCCAATTTCATCAAGGATCTGGCCATAGTGGGTGAAATTGCGACTAGTTATATTGCATTTGAATGTTGGTCAGTCATTTGTTAAATTTTAGAAATTGATACTTTTGTATTTGTTTATTCGTTGATGTTAAGTTTATGACACACATACTAATTTATTCACATAATTTAATCACTATTAAGGACCTAATGTCAACCAGTGGCCAAGTAAGTAAAACCACCAAATGCTGGTAGTTGGTTGTGCCTGTCTAAAGGGCTGGGATTTTCCCCGTGTGTCTAACACCTAAATAGTACTAGTTATTCATAAAAAGTCTTGTTTTCTTTATTTTAATTGATAAAATTGTTTGTTTTGGTAAGTTATTTATTTAAAATTAAAGTTAGACTTATCTCCGACTAACAACAATGATAAATCCATAAACCTGCCAATAAAATAATAAAACCAAACAATAGCGATCTTGTTTGATGATTTTTTTTTTGTTTTAATGTTTAGTTCTTACGTGTTGTTTAAGTATCTAATTGATAAGACTTTTGGTAATTGTAATTTGTAAATTATTAATTTGCCCATTGTATTTTCAGTATCGCAAAAAGTAGGTTTGCCCGAACCAGTCAGTACCGTCCTAAAGCAGGAAATAGAAAAAATCTATGGAAAGAAAGATGCTTGTCAACTGAACGAAGATTTTCTTACAAAACATGCAAATTCCTTGCCTCATATATTAGAAGGTCTGTGCAAACAGTTTTGTAATGTTTCGTAACAAAGTAAATTAATTAGTAATTTTCGAACACTTTCCTTTCCGGTTTAAATGATAGTCGAAATTAACGCGAATATCTATAAGTTATTAACTTTTTGCTTTTATAAATGCCATTTCTTAAGCGAATATTTATGATATAAACTGTAAATAATTATTCAAAGTAAATATGTTTAGTTTTAAGTAATTTAAAATAAATTCCAAAACGTATTGTCAATATACTAGGTCGGGAATGTCATTGCAGCGATTGTTGGGCATTGGCACCATCTGGCAAGAATGATGTTAACTATGTATTATATAATGACATTACTGGATTATAAAACAATTTTATTGTGAAGTATATCAATAACTTCCTTGCCAAACTAGTTATTGCTGGACGTTGCCAGGTGAATTATCGATAATTTCTCTGTATTGAGAGTTATAAATATAAATAGGTTGGGACGTTAGCATAATAATGAAAATTTTTACATACTTTACATTGTTTATAAAATAATAGCAAGTACGGAACATCTTTAATACGGTTACTTTTGTGTGTAGCTTAGCATTTAATGGCGACTTTTATTTAGATTAATCAAATGGAGCATTTGATAGGAAAACTGAAAATAAAATACTTTGTTAGTACAACAAAAATGATTTATTTTATTAAATTAATCTACATTTGTTAAAATATTTATCTAAATAAGAAAGCAAAGCTGGTTGGCCAGACAACCTGCAAGATTTGGATCCACGAGTATTGTGGATTTGAGTAACGTACGTGATCTTTATTTATGCCTGCAGTTCTCAGAGTTATAAGATTTGCAGATTGCTGAAATTGAGTCGTGTATGAATTGCAGACTGTCGATGCCTTCGATTTTAAAGGACCAAAAAAAAAAAAAAAACTGAACCTGGCTACATAGCTCAGTGTTTTCTTGAGCCCTGCATCTATAGATTCAAATCCACTTGTTTAATTATTTATATTTCTTGGCTGAAAATAACTGACAGAGATTGTTTTACTCGATTATTTGTTGATAGTTAAATCAAATTTGATGTTTACTTAGTAGTATTTCTGTAAGATAAATTTTACATGAAAATGTTCATGTACAATCAGAGTTAAAATATATTTTAAATCACAATCATACTTCACTAATTATTTATATATTTATTTATTTATTAGGAGCAAGAATGTTATATTTTCTTGATAACTCATCTCAAGAAAAAGCTGTGAAATTAGCAACAAACTTAAACAATCAAATGGAATCTGTCGGAATAAAGGTAAGAGAATATAATAATTGTCAATTTTTGAATTTATTTGTATAAAATGTCCTACAAAGTAAAAAATATTCTAATATACTGTACTTGTTAATTATCCACATCACAAGATAAATTAAAAATACTTTTTAAAATCGATCAGAATATCTGTTTTCACTAGTTGAAGTATACTAAATTCCTCTGTTTTACAGCTGCTCACTCTAACACTCCTTTCTTTCACAATTTTTATGCATTTTAAGCTGTCGTACTTAAAGATGGCCAACAGAAATGCAACTCTTGTTTATTATGATATAGTTTGAAACTATATTTCCTGGAATGCAATATCGTTTTATGACATTGAACACGTGTAAAACTAGTTTATTCTGCTACAACATAAGGCAATTTTCCGGAAATTAATTAGATTCAAAGAATGGGGATTTGTTGTTTATTTTGGAAAGGAGTTTAATGTTAATTTAATTATAACTTTAATATTATATTAATATTACTTTACGACGCATATGTTATCAAGAAAAACAATTTTAATTCCCCAAATTTTGTAGTTAGTTTACATATTTATATCCATCTTATAGTTGGAAAAGAATTTAAATCTTGCAGTTTTATTTGTGTTTAGAATTCTTAACAAACTGCCAATTAAATTTATCTGAATTATACTAAACTGGAGTATTCTTTGAATTACAGGTATGTACCGAAGTGTTAAATTCGCTAAGGAGAGGCGATCTCGGTAATTGTACCGACGAAGAAATTAGGAAATACATGAATAAGTGTCACGAACTCTTCACAAATGCCTCTGCTTTCCAAATTCAGCCCTCTTCGGTAGAAAAGGACGAAACCGATAAAGTCGCAAGTTCTCCCGAAACTCCCACCACCAATCACGTGGACGGGCTATCGAAAGAGGAATGATGATTCCTTTAATCTAAATCAATTGTTTTCTTCCAATTATCATATTTGTCTCAAAATGAACACAGGACACTCCCAGCTGTCGTTCCTCAAATCTCCCAATATGACTGTTGTGTTGAATGATATTGAGGTTAAACAGCTAAAAGTGAAAATGTTGATTTATTTGTTGCCTAGAGAGTGTTGGACAATTTTTGAACTCTGATCTAGTTCGAGAATGACAATAGTGACGTGTGATCGATTATTAATTATAATAATTATTATTTTAAAAATTTTTTTCCTTGTTTTGTTTTTCATCCAGACATTGAAAAATATAAAAAAAAAAAGAGACATTTATGGAGTTCGTAAAATAAACATATACCTTGTATCAGTTACCGAGCAACTTCGAAGAGGAAACTAATCTTTGCTATTTAACTTACTTGTGCTGTCGAATTTTACATAGTTTTGGACATATGGAGTGAACTCTTGGAAAATCAATTTGTTCCTTTTCGTGCAACAAAATGTTTCTACACTCAAAAGGATCTTAAGAATATTCCAAGTACAATCAAGCAGCAGCCAAAACAGCTCATTTTTTTCTTAAACTAGTCTCTCTCTCTCTCGTAAAGATTGACGATATAGACTTAAGACGAAAATAAAAATAAGTAAATAAATAAAAATCAATCAGATAAGCACTTTATTTGAAGATATAGTGGATTTGTACTTGTCACGATAGTTGCACAGGTTAGTTTAAAACTTAGAACAAATAGTTTCCTACAGGATCGTCGATTTGCAAGAATGTTAAAGAAATCCTACCCCTTTGCAAATTAGACAAATAATCCAAAAACAAAAAAAAAAGGCAAAAAAAAAAAAAATAATAATAATAAATAAACAAACAAACAATGTGATTTTTCTATTATCTTTGAAGTCATCAGTCATTTTTATTTTATACCAGATCAGCAAGGGATGATTGGTCTTATTTCACAATCCACTTGTTATGATCTATAGGAATGATTACCCTATAGATAACTTGAACTCATAAAATTTGCTGCCTTAAATTACTGTAGTATGTATGGAAAACAAAAAAAAAAAAAAATCAAATTCTGTTTGTTGTATTGCTAAGAATTATCGTTTTTAGAACAATTGTCATATGTCAAGAATGAAAACTAACGAAAAATATCGCTCTTTGCATGTGTGCGCGCGCGCTCAACTTTAATTATTCGAATTGGCATTTTATTTTCTATAATGATCGATATACAGAAACAAAATTAATTTAGTCAGTTACTTTGCTCCTTTTTTCGTTTTGTACTTTCAGATTGTTACTTTAATGTCAAAAAAACAAATGATAATAATAATAATAAGAAAAAAAAATAATAATAATAATAAACTTTGCAATTGTTTCCTTCTGATAACTGATGTAAGTAAATTAAGATAGTATGTGTGCGCATATGTATAAAAATCTTTAAAAAAAAAATGCAAAATTGGGTTTGAATGCGTTGTAAAGGATGCTAAATTAAAATGTTTTGTCAAGGGTGTCGATGCTATGTTTATTTAACACAAATAGCTTGCATAAAAGGTAATATAGAATGTCCCAAAAGTCACTCCAACTGAGATAAATGGTTGAAATGGGTTTGCATGATGATGATAGTAATTTTGTTAGTTCCAATGAAACTGCTGAAAACTAGTTTTAAATATATACATTTCAGTTAACTGACTATATGAATTCTTTAGTTTCAATACTACAATCAGAAAAGATATCCAAATCAACATTATCAAGTTTTCTGTAAGATTTCATAAATTTGGGAATTGAATTGTGTTTTTTATCTGTTTCTTTTAGAAATGCCTTGTTTACAATGCCAGTTAAGGCTGGTGAACTGATCTTTCTCATTAAAGACAATCCTTTCATTATCTGCAAATTACAATGTCTAGTATGAATCTTGTTTTTATAAATTATAGTTTGAGATGCTTGTTCGACATCACAGTCGATTAATGCTGTTTTAAGAGGCAGACGAATGGTGCGGTACCTCAAAATCTGACTAATACAACGGTGTGTGTAAACTTTATTACAGAATTATTACTCTTTCCTTCACATGTCACACCTAAACAGACATGATTACAGGTTCAAGCTGTAATGAAATCGATTTTTGGCAGCTTGTAGAACCCTTAAAATTGCCAACTGATCTGCTATTTACATTTGAAATGCCTCTCTTCTGCATGGAGTATGTGCCCAGAAGTATTGCTCTTGCAAGAAAGAAATGCTTAAATTTTTATCTTCAACTGTTCATACCTTATCACAAAGTGCATTGACAATGAACAACTTTTGCTATCTTTTCCCAAAGGGCAAATGAGAATGTACAGCAGTTTTCTACACTTTTAATCTTAAATTAGTATTTGAGTTATAACAAAGTTTAAAATATGTGTGAAAATTTAGGTTAAAAAGTAATTAATTCTCAGAGAGAAGGAACCAATTCAAGGACTATGCTGCTTGCATTTGTGAAAAATAAAATTGTTGAGTCAAGTGATGAGGGAATTGAATAGTGTATTTGATTCTTTGTAAATTTTTTTATCAAGGTTAAAAGGATTTAATGATAAGATGGAAACTGTTACTTTAAATCAATATTTTCATCTGCAGTCAAGCAAGCAAAGTACATTAAATAAAAAAAATAATAATGTTTCAAATTACACCCATAACTTGCCACCCTCTGTAGGAAGGTCCCTCAGCGGATGGACATCTCACTAGTGAACGAGCTTCTTTGAGGGACTTCCTGTAGTTTTTACTGACGTTTTATAACTCTTTTAATTTACTTACCAGAAAAGCACTTCAAACTATATTGTGAATGTTAAATAATAATGGTTTTAAAGTGTTGTGTCTCAGCATATCTAGGAGAGCCTTTTCTTATATGTAGAGCATGGACCAGTTTTTTTTTATAGCTTAAAGAAAAGATAAATTAATGAATTTATCATTCCATCTGAATGTAGTTTTTCAGTGTTTCCATAATGGCGTCACACACTTCCGTTGATTCTGCTTATTGCTTGCTTTGAAATTTTGAAAAGGTACTGAAGACATGCTTTTTAGGCGGTGATGTCAACCTTTCCCGAGCAAGAATTGCTTTATAAAATGTTATCTTGTTTAGAAATTTTTGATTCGATTGCAGATAAAAATTCAAAATCAATTGAATCCTGGTAAATGTTTTGTACAATCCAGTGACGGGCTGAAAATTTTAAGTCAGCCAATGAACTCGAACCACTGTATACTTCCTTGCTTTCATACAATTTTGACGTTCACTTACGTGGTTAATTTTTTTCAATGCAGAATGAATAAAAAAGTATACAAGACTTCTGCTATTTGTTGAGATATACTCATTGCATTGCCGCACAAATAATGCTGACCACTCCTAGAAAGTTTGATTTGTATCATAATCTCACAACCTCCATTTTTAATGTAAGAACGATGATGATACCGAGAAAAAAGTGAAAACTACACTATAACATAATATGGACTTCTCATGCAAAATACTACCGTTGCATGATGAGGGGAAGTGATATTTTGCATCATGGACCTGGCCAAACCCACGATAGGCTTTTTTGATTTTTTGACTTTCAACATTATACGGTGCATTTTTTGGTTTCTTAGGTCCATTAATTAATGAAAGAACATTGGACAACTGGAATCAAAATTAAGCATTACTGAGGTATTCAAATAAAGAGAGGCTTCAATAGGTAGGCGTTCACACGTAGTTTTCAAAGGCAAGTCGACAAGACTATTAAAATTCCAATTCGCCGAATTGGTGGTGGTAAAAGTACCATTGACCAACGCAAGGAATAGCTTAGCGAACAGACACTATACGTCACACTACCATGCTACTAACCTTTAGGAAAGCAATCATCCACAATACCAAATGTCGTGTTTTTGAAGCCATTTTACCTTTAGAAAATGGGATGAAGATTGGAAACACGAATTCTGCTAAGAAGAAGAGATGCTCTTTTCACTGGTCTTAAAAAGAACAAAGTATCGAGACGCATAAAATCGCATCTAAAATAGTATAATAGAAGTCCAGTTCTTCACGGTCAGCCTTAATCCCGACCTCTCTACGCGCGTATTCGAATGCAACTTGTGAAAATTTCAAAGTAATGGGACTTAACCCTTTGCAATTTTAAATCTGGTCGAGACGAGGTCATTCGAAAGAGTTCTTCCAAGCGATAACAATCGGGACCGTCTTAATAGCGTTGTAGGCTCCTGGACAAAGCAGTGCACTGAGCCTGCCTACACTGGTCGAGAAATTAGTGTTAAATTCTGGTATGTTCATAAATTAGCGTGAAGCTCCCGGGCAAATAAAGTGCCCACAACTCAAAGATCACAATGGTGGAAGAATTTTTACCGGATATACATACAGTAAAGTATTAGAGACTTTCAAAGTTTTTCCCAAATTTTAATCGTTTTTACTAAACACTGTTTTATAAAGCCACAACCGATTATATGCAATGGACAGAGATCGAATCCAACTCGAGATAAGAAACCGCTTCCTTTGCACGGCTTTTTGAAAAATTCAAATATGTAAAAATACAATGTCTCTATAGTTTTTCGACAACAGCAGAATTACATTTTCAAAATTCTTTCGCCATTGTGATTGCCTCGAAGAGCTCTTTCGAATGACCCGGGTAACGACCAGACTTAAAAACTGCAAAGGTTGCGGTTCTCTCGTAAGCCACAAAGTTGTTTTCGAATTTACTGTAGCGATTTGATACTTGATTGAAATTTTTTACCTATAACTGTTTCTCCTCTTTCGGGAGCATTAAAAAAAGCCTTTTTATACGACCAATATGAATTGTAAGACTAGCCAACACTTTAAACGAGGCTAATATTCGAGAAGCCTGGTAGCAAGGGCCAAGCCAACAATGGGACAATCGGATGATGAGGGACAGGGCCAAACATATGGAGAGACCACTCCTGAAAAAGTCCTGGGAAGGTTGTTGGCCCTGCATTTAATCCCGGATCCCCCAAAGTGGTAAGCTGACACCTTAACTATCTCGGCTATCCGGCCGGTGATGATTACAAATAAAAAACAAGATCGAAACATTTAAAATAGAAAGTGAAATTAAAAAGCATGTCTGAATCATGAATTCAAACATTCATTTAGTTTAATTTATCTAATTTAAATATTTATAGATTAAGCTGAAGATAGTATGGACAACATAAAAAAAAAAACATAACTGATAGTTTAAACAGGTGTTTCATCTGAAAACAAGACTGGTCAAGTCTATCTGATAGCACGCTCCATAAAAGCCATTCAAATATCTTTTTTAAAATAAATTTATTATAATAATAATTTAATACAATACAGTCGACTCCCTATACCCTATAACACTGTTAATTTTTTCGTTTTATATGAATTCTATGTTGTACGAGTCACTTAGATTTTACAAATACGTGAGCCATTCACAGCCTGGCACACATATTTGTAAAATCTAAGTGACTCGTACAACATTGAATTCATATAAAACGGAATTATCAACAGTGTTATAGGGGGGTTGACTGGTATACTAATTACTTTCGTGGCACCCGAACAGGTGGTTAAGGAGATCAGGGTGTCTGGTCTCGGTTGTGTGAGTAGCAACACAGGGATATAAAATTTAAACAATAACAAAAGCCCCATTCCCTCGATCTTTAATCACCAAAATTTAACAGCATCAATGTCCCTTATAATCAAGCCACCGTGCCAAATTTTTTTTCTTAATCTTTATCCCATCCCGAGATATTACACAAAATTCTCTCCTATTTTTGATTGTTTTGGTTTCAGGGTGTCAGTTACGCGTTATGACGTCGCGGGGCTCGAGCAAATTTGAATTAATGGCCCCATGTAATGTTAATTTTAGGAATTTTTCTTGGAAGGAAGATTTTGAGGAAATATTTTAGTTAAAGATTGGTTCGGGACCTCACCAACAGGGGTCACTATTATGTCCATACGGCAAGTGTCTCGAAATAGTGTAATCGGGTCAAATATGACACGATTACAATACTTTCTCGTGTTATAACAGCCGGAAAAGTAAATAAATTAATGACGAATTTACGTGATTATTAAAATATATTTAAATTAGATAAATTAAACAAATTAAATAATGCTTTTATTTATTCAATTTAAAAAAAAAATAAGATAAAAATACACTTTCACTTTAAGATTGAAACTGTTTTTTCAACTGTTTATATAATTATATAAATCCCGCTTTTACGATCTAATTCGGTCGTTAAGCGAGCCGTCGTAAATCGAATTCCTTTTTTCCCATAGGGTCAGTGTCGTAAATCGAGGTTCTGTTCCGAAATATTCAACAAAATACAATACTTTTAATGTAATATTTTATGTAGTTGCATTATCGGTGGTAAAACGAAGGTTTTAATCTGCCAATGTCTGAATTCTATTTATACAGACAAGAGGAATGCATTTAATTAAATATCTATATTGTGACTGCTTAATGTAATGCTTCCTTTACCTTTGTTCAGGGATTTTTCAATCATTGTGTAGCCATTTAATAATACTGTATATTCGAATTATAATTAAATGATTCAATGAGGAAGAAGAGGGTCTTCTAAAAGAAGAGGAAGAAGAAGAAGAGGGTCTTCTAAAAGAAGAGGAAGAAGAAGAAGAGGGTCTTTTGAAGGAAGAGGAAGAGGAAGAAGGGGGTCTTCTGAAGGAAGAGGAAGAGGAAGAAGGGGGTCTTTTGAAGGAAGAGGAAGAGGAAGAAGGGGGTCTTCTTCTGAAAGAAGAGGAAGAAGAGGGTCTTCTTTCAGAGGAAGGTCTCTTCTTCCTCTAAATCGTTCAATCTAACAATTAAACACGTTTAAATTAATTATTTTATTATAATAACTGAACAATTCTCGAATAAATTAATAAAAAAAACATCCATTTTTCTCTATTTTTTCCTAAAAAATGAATGAAAATCTGCTTTTATGGTATGCTCGGAATTATGATTATTATTATTATTGACATTAACTTAATAAATATTTTATATGTTTCGACGATTATTTACATTTAATTCCCTAAATTAAAGGTAAATAATGCACGAAAACCTTTATTTTCTAGGAAAAATACACAAAAAAAAATATCTCGAAACGACCTTCAACCTATTCTATTTATTTAGGAGAAATGAATTGATTGGTTAATTTGATAACATGCGCTTAAGCATAATTCCGGTTTTATATATAAATGATACGAAATAAGTATATTTTGCATTCCTTCCTATAACTTCAAAGGCATAAGACATGATCGTCAAATTTCTAATTTACCTTTTATATCCAGCCAGCATCCTTGCTTTCCTCGATATAAGGGTTTCCAGAACTGAGGATCAAGTAAGTTCTTTTATTGTAACTTATTGCAATTATCTGTATTATTTATATATATATATATAAATTAAATAAATAATTTAAGAAAATTTATTTAATTTTTCTTTATTATGTCATACAAACATATATGCAATGCATAAGTAAATACTGTCCTATATATGAATGAATGAATTTTTTGTTTCATGATAACTGTTGTAATCTATTGTATTGGAATATATATATCATATAAATACATTTATAATGGAAAATTAATAATAATTATCTTATTTTTGATAATAATTTCGTTAGAGCATGAGAGAATGAAAGAGTACATAGATTCTTTCTATGAAAAGAATCTCATACATCCCTAGAAAGAATGTATTCTTACAAAGGAATGTGCTCCTATATTTCTTACATACATACATACACATGTAAGAGAATATAGGAAGAATATAAGAGAGAATAATAATAATAATAATAATAATACTCCTATGAAGTGGAAGAATCTTTCAGCATTCTTCCTGTGTATTTTAGGTAAGAATATCCTCTATACAGTTGTGTTCCTGTGAATGAAAATACATAGGAAGAGTGTAGGAACACTTTCCTACTTATAACAATGATGTATATAACATTTTTCTTATGTATAATTATAAAAACAGGGCCGTCGAGAGTTTGTATAGAAAGGACCCTTTTTGTCCTTTCTTTCTGAAATACGTAGAATGTTTTTCTTATTAATAGAAAGTAAAAATAACATTAATTTATAGGGTAGAAACCCTATGAGCCCCTACGTTTACTCCTGGTCTGGGGAAGAATTCCTAGCTCTTTCTCTCAATGGCTCTGTATGGAAAGAATGCAGGAACGTTTCTTCCTATATATTTTTGCATATTATATTCTGTCTAAGGGGATAATTATTTTTCTCCTAGGCCAAATATAATGTGCACGAGAAGAGAGAAAAAATTGTTGAAGAAAACAGTAAATAAATTCATTTATATGATGTAATATAGCGTCAAAAGTGTACTTTCTGTTTAAAAAAGAACGGTTACAAGGTGACAAATATTAGGCCATGACACCATTATCATTCCATTTTTTTTTTTAAATTGATTTATTGGTTACCATCCCCATTAACACTGAATAAAATCTTTGAGACTGCTGTTAATTAATAAAGAAACATTATACATATTCAAAAAAAAAAAAGGCAAAAGGGGCCCGAAAGCTGGGTAACAGTGGCACATTATCCTGTGTTCAAGCAATTGCCTGAGGTCTATACCAATATGAAAGCTCAAAGTAATCTTTTATAAGTTCATTACTGTAGTAAGAATATCGAAATTTAATTTTGGCGACATATCTGAGAACCCTAGATTGCTAGTTTGGCGCAGCGCAGAACTTAATCTTCCAGAAGATACCCGAAGATTCCTCCAAAAAAAAAATTCTCCCGAAGAAGAATGTCTGAAGACAACACTGTATATGGGCCCCTAATTCAAATTTGTCTTGGCCCCATAACGCGCCACTGCATTCCAAGCTTTCAGGGGAGGTTACGGGGCTCCGAAAGCTTGGTATTTTTGTCCCATGAAGGATTTCGTATTTACAGGCCTCGAAAACTTTTATTGTATTTCTAGTGTATAAAGAAAATCACTGTAGTTTTTGTCAAATTTTACTAGTCGCTTCTAAAAGGCCAGGCAGGCCCTTTAGAGGTCTTGGCCTTTCATTTTGAGGCCTTTTAGAAAAGCCTCAAATCGAAAAAAAGTATTTTGTACTGTGCTATTCCGGTTTACTCAGGGTTTTTACTGTATACTCGTATATGTATACTGGTACAGTAACTCTTTATATACTTTACTAGCATATAACCATGGAAAGATTGGTATGGGGCCCAGATTAAAGTAGGCCCCTTTTGAAAAAATGTAATACGTAGAATGTGTTTTTCGTTACTAAAAAGTAGCATAAATTTGTATTGACAGGAACCACTACTGCTCCCTTAAAATCCTCAACTCTCCCTCTCGACGTCCCTGCATACAATAGTAAATACAGTAAAACCTGCGTAAACCGGAATCGCGGTTTATTTTAACATAGAAAATCGCTCTGTTCCGAAGAATTTCTTCCTTTTAGGCAGGTTTTCGTTATACTCAGCTTCCGTCTTGAACAGGTTTTATTATATATGCGACATAAAACTTGCATATTTGATTTGTAATACGAATAACAAACGGCTAAAGAATGCCACCATTCATAAAAACCATTCATCCCGTTAATAGGAACGACTGATTCTCGTGAATAGTAACAATTATTAGTTTATACATCCTTTTATTTGTGTTTTTTCACCGTTCTTTGCTTTGAAAACAATGGTTTGGAGGGTGCCATAGAGTTTCCAAACAATAAAAACGTGCTTATTCTCGTGTAGTCATTTATTTTTCTAAGTATAGAGGTCTGTAAGATAGTACAGTGTGGTTGTGATTATACTGTCCTACATAAAATACAGGACGTTGTAAACCACACTACGATATTTGATGTATATTTAGGGCTACAAGACAATATGTCGTTAGTAGTAAAGAGGGGTTCTATCGAATTCTGATGCACGAGAAATTCTTACAACCTACGACACTAAGAGATCTTTTTTTTGTGCCCATTATGGGTTCGACCAAGCAGTCAGTAGGTGAGGAGAGAAGCCCGACATATCCTCTTCAATGTTGTTTATGATACACGGCAACGCAATATGTGGGCGATCTGTCGAGGGAGATGCTAATTTTTTTTATGGGAAAGTGGTCCCTATTTAGGCGAAGAAACCCGGAAATTTCACGTGGCCACCCCGTTGGCGAGGCTCGAATCCAACACCGTTTAGCGGTTTTATCCATTGGTTGATGGGTCCAATCCGCTTCAAATCACTTATAAAGGTTTCCAAGAATCCAATTTGGACTGAAAATATTTTATTTTATTTCATTTTTTAGGTAAAAATCGAACCTGTCGCAAATTATACCTTAAAAGATTGCAGTGAAAAGGGAGACGTTTTGTTTCTGGAGCATTTGAAAATCGAACCGATTCCATTGAAACTTCAGGAAAAATTTACACTGAGACTCACTCTGACTTTAAACGAAGACATTCCATCACCAATACAGGTAAAGTACTCATTAAACTTGCTCAGGGTGGTCCAATAGTCGGTTAACCGCTGTTAAAATTTAAATTGCCCGATTCAAACACTTTCTTACTTATTCAATATACGAATTAAGAAGGCTTTACCAAACTCGGTTAACTTACTTTTGGGCCACCCTCGGGCTTATAAATAGAAAGAGAAATACTTACGAAAGATTTTTAATGCAGGTGCACATCGAAGCAGAAGCACTCGTTAGCAGATTATTTAGTACCCCACACAAAATGAAATTCCCTTGCGAATTGTTCTTGAAACCCTTAAATTTGAGTTGCCCTATAACAGATCTGTGCGAAACAATATTTATAAAGGATAAAAACTGTGCCAACGTCGAAACGAATGAAGTATATCCATGTTCCTGTCCATTAAAGAAGGTAAGAATTATACATTGAAAAACTGTTTAAAACGGACAAGGCGGCTGGAATTTGACGTTTTAATTAACAAATTTCCGTTTTATAAAGGGTCCGTTTTAGACAGATTTTTACATCATTTATATTCGCATATTACGTACTCAATAATTACAAATATTGAAATTCTTTAGGGCATGACAATGTTCTCGGAATTTAAAATCAATCCGGGCGAAATTCCACCCCCGATTTTACGATATTTGAGGGCATTCCGTCCTAATGCTAATATAAAACTCATTGCTAAACGACTAAATCGAAGACTCGGATGTATATCCGCTGATGTATCCATTTTTACATTGTAATCGTGCACCATCCTTGGCCCGTTGTCTACGATCTCTCGACTTCTCAAATTACTATTTGTTATGATCTACCAATAAATGTGTTTTCCTTTAAAGAATTCTCGTGTCTTCGTTTCTTTTAATTCTCTCAACCTGTGGGCACTAAGAGGCACACATTGGGGCGATTGGCTGACGTGGAACGGGGCCTGATCTATCCGGGAGAGACACCCTCCGAAAAATTCCTATGGTTTTTCAACCTGTGACTGATTCGATGCCGTGTTTCCCCAGAGCAATACGCGACTACCCCTCCTTAATGCCTCAACTTCCACTCTTTTCCTGCGTAATTTGGGCCCCACCCGGAAGGAATTTCTATGGTTCCTATTTAGATGTTAGACACGTGAAGAAAACGCGGCAAACTCCACGCGTTAATGAGGCATGAACCCAAAAAAACTAGTGTTGAATGGTTACGAGAGCGGGGGACTATGCTCTACATTCATTTACGACAAAGATTTCGAACACACGATAATTAATTTTAATTAAACTACAATACAATTCTTTTTAAATTTAAAATCAATATTCTTAAAATCCGTCTAAATAAAAAAATAATCTAAAAAGGTAAATGTTTCAAATGAATTACGTACATATTTCAGTACAATTAATACACTTCCACTTTCACTGCATGTAGCAATCTGCATTAGTAATACAATTGTTTTCTACTACAGTGTTATCAATCCAAGAGATATAAGAACTAACACGAGTATATACACCTGGAAAATTGGCTATAGCACATCCGTAACCATAGGAGACGATTCCAACCAGAATGGCACCAATGCGATCCTCTTCGATATACAGAGGTCCTCCCGAATCACCCTTTAAACAATACATTGCATCAGAAAATAAATACATTTATTATTAACAGTATTAGATTCTTAATATTTTACCTGGCATGAATCTTTACCACCTTTCTTATATCCGGCACACAACTGGCTATCGTGTATTGTTACATATAAACCATTGTTCCTATACGATTCTTCACATCCTTGATTGCTGATGATTGGTAAACTCGCAACTTGTAGCGTATCTGGGTATTTGCTTGAATCTAAATTACAAAAAGAATTCATTTTCTTTATAAATTCATTACTTAAAATTTACATAATTAAGTTTAAAAGCATTAATTCTGACCTTGCATTAATTCACCCCAACCAGCAACTTTGGCCATCTTGCCATTCAGATGAATATCATACGTATTTAATCGAATGAATTTCGTAGAATTGTTGCAAACGATATTTTTCTGAAGTTTCAACAGGGCAATGTCATTGCTAGAAATTTCTGCATTTACATATTTTGGATGAATGTGTATCTCCATTATATTAATCCGTACGGAACTTTTACTGCTTAAATTGCGGCTTCCGACTTTTACAAAATAAGCCCAAGGTACGGGAAAACTGTAAAAAAAAAAAAATAAAACTTTCTATCAATTCAATCGATCGATCGATCGATCGATCTTTTAATTAATTCTTCAATGGTTTACTCGTAGAAGCAATGTGCCGCGCTGATGACCCATCTTCTTGAAATGATGGATGCTCCGCAATAAAAATTGCCAAAGAAATAAATTGCTGCCTAAAATATTTAAAAAAAATCTTCAGAAAATATATTATTTAACTTATTTACTAGTTTTTGAATTTAATTTCTTTTAAATACCATTGAAGGAACTTCTCCTTCTTTAGCTTCTTCACCTCCCACAACTCTATCTTCAAATGGAGGTTGTACATCGTATTCGGTATCATTCCCTATATTATAAAAATTCAAATTATAATTTTACCCCTTTTTTTATCCATTTATAATACAAATAAAACTGTAAAAAAAATTAATTTATACCATTTTATAACGCGCGGTTCTGCTGCGTTATCGATTCTTTACTCGGTGTGCACGCAGCTGAACCTGTAAAAAAATCAAAGTTTACTTACTAAAATTAATATTTGTTGTGTTAATTCCTAATGGAAATAGTCCTAAGATGATAGCAATTCGTAAAAATTCAGCCATATCACAATTATGAAGACAATAATTGTCATAAATTCGTACTTGTACGAAGCATACATCAAGTGGAAACGAACTGCTGCTCCAATCTAGATTATTTATATTTTCTAAATGATTTTAGTCATTTTAAATATGGAAAATATAATACTGTTTGATAGCTTTTAGGGAAACAATAATGAAAATATCACTTCAATCCGTGAACAAAATATAAATAAAGGAAATGACGCATATTAATACGGCACTCCGCTGATTGTTTCCAATACAGTATTAATAACAGGAAATACATTTCACTTCATTTAAAATTCATTATGATTTAAATATTTAGAAGAAACGTTACGCAACGAGTTGCGTAACTTTCCCGGTCACCTCTCCCTTCTATCTCCCTATCCTCTCCACCTTTTACCACCAAAATTTAATAATATCAATGCCCGTAATATACAAAATTTCAGAAATTTTCGGCAAAAAGGCACGGGAAATGGGTGAACATAATCGCGCCCCCTTAAACACACTAAAGACCATACATACAGGAAAAAACCTCTGAATTTTTTTGCATTTCATGGTTATACGAGTTAAAAAATGTAAAAATCTTGTATATGACGTGTTACAGTATGACATATGCCAGTGAAATTTATAATTATTAGATTATAAATAAATTTGATGTTTAAAATAAAAAAAAATATTTCCATGAATTTATAATCCACGTTGAAATTTGCATAAAATCTTCCAACTCCCAGCTGGGTACAGGAATTATATTATCATTAAAAAATTAATTACTGTTCTGTTATGTGCGATTATAATATAGAAATGGCGTAAAGCAACACGAAGTTTGTCTATTTTAATAATATATGCAAATAATCCTTAAAACAATTTGCTCTTGGAATAATGGAAGAAGACAAAGAAATACATGGGCAATCTCTACCAAGTGATAAAGTGTGACGCGTTATCTCATGAACAAAAAGGCCATGAGATAATACCCCTAATTCGACCATACTAGGAGTATGTCACGTAACTCTTTCTATCTCCCCATTATCTCGACCTTTAACCTCCAAAATTTAACTGCATCAATTCCACTAATACGCAAATCTCTCTGCAAAATTTCAGAAATTTTCGACAAAAGACAGAGCAGTTATTAAGCTTCAAAATGGGTGAACAAGATCGTGCCCCCACACAAACAGGAAAAAAATCCCAAATTTATTTACATTTCTCGACATTTCAAGATCCACGAGTTAAAAATAAAAAATCTAGGGAGAGGGTCCGATCGTTATTCTTTCTCCCTGTTATATACAACAGCCTAGAAAATAAAAATAAATTTTCTTAGATTTCCGAAAGGATTTTTAATGAGAGAAAGCCTTTAACCTCCGCCCGGTTTGAAATCAAGAAATTACACTAAAAAGAGCGGATGGAAGAAAATTATTGAAATGGAATGCAATTCCGATCCTTTTTGATGTTCCAAATCCTCCACCCCTTCTGCAATTAAAAAAAAAACACCAAGAAGAAGAGAATTACCTCTAAATAAGTGCAGCTTTGGTTTAACAAATGTTTTTAGGGCATTAAATATTTATCACAAGAACCAGTAATTATGTATTAGTGTACCCTCTAAATGAAAAGATACTCTATTTGAAATTAAAAAAGTAATTATGTTGCTCAAACTCGAAGGAACGTGCAGTTTACAACACTTAGATAGCTTGAAATCTATTCCGTGATCTTGGAACTACGGACCCAAAATGGCGGCTACATAAGGAACATCGATGTCCTGACCTTATTTTATAGACCTTGAGAGAATGTAGTCACGTCAGCGCTATCTATCGGTGACTTCTCAAACTATTGTTTTTCTTATCAGGGGAGAAAATCCCCATCCCCATAACTGTTCATACCACACTTCGATGCGTTGAGTTTTTATTTGTTTTTACAGGCTTTTGACTCACCATATGTACTGTATTACATGATTTATTCAGGAATGATCCTAGTTTGTTGCTGTATGCAACAAACTAGGATCATTCTTCAGTTTTCAGTGTTATATTAAGGCTTTATTCCTACTATTTATTTATAAATATATATATATATATATAATTCAATGTAGAAATTTTTATAAAACTGAATCGAAATATTCGAAAACAATTTTTTTAAATTGCAAAATTCAAAGGAAAACAACTGATTAAACACAGTACTGTACATGTTTCAATTACACAAATGCTTCTATTTGTAGAGGGAGAAACGTAGTTTAACGTCATAACGGCCATGTTTTCACACAGTTCTAAGAAATACTGATTAACAAAATTCTATCACTCAAAAATGATTAGCAAAGTGGTCACGTTATTTTGTATTTGTTACGTGTTTACGAGCGTAACAGCTAAATTAATCAAGACTGGTGAAACGTTTGAGCTCTTAAGAGTCAAAAGAGGTGTAAGTAACGTTATTTTTATGTTAAATGTGTACGAAAAACAATTTAATTATGCTAATTAGCTACTCATTAATGTGTTTTTAGGAAAGGAAATTGATTGCACGTGCCAAGCTCGTTCCCTGTAAGGAAGATGATGACGTGGTATTTGTTGAAGAGTTCAAAATCGATCCTTATCCTGTTATAATTGGGGAAAATGTCTCCTTGACAATATATTCAGCGATTACTGAAACAATTTCACCACCAATCAATGTAAGATATTTAATATATTTTCTATGCACGAAATGTACTGTGTGGAGATTTCGAGCATAGACAATGTAGGCTTTTGTCTAGGATCTTCAGGGCATGCTTTATGCATGTTGATAGGAATCGGAATCTAGTTATAACTAAGAAGCCAAGAACTAAATACAGAAGAAAACTCTTCTGTATTTAGTTCTTGGCTTCTTAGTTCTAAAATAGTAGACCCCCCTATAACACTGTAGATAATTCCATGTTATATGAATTCCATGTTGTACGAGTCACTTAGATTTTACAAATACTTGTGCCGGGCTGTGAACGGCTCACGTATTTGTAAAATCTAAGTGACTCGTACAACATGGAATTCATATAACACGTCTACAGTGTTATGGGGGGTCTACTGTACAGAAGAAAACTCTTCTGTATTTAGTTCTTTGCTTTTGTAATCAAATTAGACCGCGAATGAGTAATCCGAATGTAACTTACATGCAGAAAACTTTGGCCTCGTGTTTGCTACGTAAGTAAAGTTTAAATTTTTGCAGCGCCATCTTGTTTTAACTGAAATAATTAGTATTAACGTTTACAAAACTAACGATATAAAATCGGATAAAACTCTTATTATATCTAATTCTTTATAAAAACGTAAAGTATTCCTTAATCAATTTTATAAAAATGGAAAGTATTGAATAGTACTAATGTTAAGTATGAAAAAACCTCTCCAGTATTACACTCAAACGTGGGCACAAGATGGCCGCCGTAGAGTAAATTAAGATAAAGAAATTTAAAAAAAAAATCACAAGTAAAATATTTGAGATCATGAAAAATAAAATCCAAGTATATATTAAAATAAAACTATTTAATATGATACAATTCGCAGTTAAAATTTCACGAAATCATTCGCCTTCCATCTTTGCACTTAAAAGTTAGTAAATGTTTCTTTGTACAGTACATCTACAGATTTTTTCACGTTGAAGAATTTTAAAAGTAAGATAAACTTCCTCAAAACATTCAAAACATCTTATTAGTTCAGCTGAGCATAAAAATACGTACGTGTATACAATAGAAGCTAAGTACACAAACCAACGACACAGTACATTTTGCGTGAAATTGGTTTGCTTAGTTACTTGCCACCTATAAAGGCTATTGTATTTAAAATAAAGGCTGGTTTGGACTTTATGTTTCTAGTTAAGTGAAATATTTTCCTGCTTACGTTACTGTTATATAGTACTTGACAGCGTAAATTGTAGAGCCAATGAGGAAACCTTTAAGAAGATGAAAAATTCGATAGATTTTTCACTTTCTTAACGTTATTTATTTAATATTTAATAATATTACTTATCCTATTGGCTGCTGGATTGCGATACTCTTCCAGCACAGCAAACCTAGACCATCTCTATACGATCCAGCACGTGAATTTTCTGTCTTTTCCGCCTGTTGCTTTGACTATGAAATGCTAAACGTGCCGTGTTCGACTTCATATTTTTCTTTTTCTTTAAATTCCTGCAGTCTAATGGACAACGGCTAAGGTGAAACGTACCACTCTGGGGCACCCGGGATCGAAAAAACCCCAGAAATTTTTCAGAGAGTGATCCGTCCAGCCCCTGTCCTCAACACCATAGTGGGCCTGGGCAAAACCATAATGGCCAAGCAGTCAAGATGGCAGCCTACTGCTCTGGGGATCCGGAATCTTGCAAACATGTCTTTCTTTCTTTTTTTTTCACTCCGTGGGCACTAAGAGGTCTTTTCCAATCATATACGTTACGGGTTTTATCAGGCCCGTAATGGAGTGGCCTGACAAAACCCGTTGACGCAAATGCTAGAAATTATAGGACCTTTCAAGCCGTTTACTAGTGAAAGGCCTGAGTGATAGTCGGATGGTCGAACGATAAAGATGAGCCTACCAATTTGGGAGATTTTAACGGGTCGAAAAACCACAATAATTTTTCGGAAGAGTGATCATTCAGGATATATCAAGTCCCGTCCCTCAGCACTCGGCTTCCCCATTCTGGGCTTGGCTTTCTATAAAAGGCTCTTTTTAATTTCCACTGGACATAGAGAATTTAAAAAGTACTAGGGCCTGAAAGGTCTCATCACTTTTTATCTGTTAAAAATAATAGAGAATAAAAAAATTTCTTTCGTAACGTTTTGAGGGAGATCATCACATCTCTAGTATCAATTGTAAAATATATCCGTCGATATCTGAATGCGATGTAATTGAATGTATACACGTGGTAGGTGTTTATTATCTTGTACAAACATTCTGTTTACTATAGAAGACGTATTACGTAAAAATTGATGGAGAAATTTTAGTAAAAAAAAAAAAAAAGAGAGAAATGAAAAGAAGAACAAACATAATTTGTCAAGTCTGTTTTCTAAACAAATAAATGTCATATATTTTTAAATTACTCTTATTTAATGATTCATTATATTTGATCTTAGTTTAACTTAAATGTAATTAATTAAATATATAGAATTTTTTTTACTTACTTTTTTTTGTAAATACAGGATGATCCAAAAGTCATTTAACCAGTGTAAACACTAAAATGTCTTGTTGAAATATTTAATTGTGTTTTAATTAAATCACGTCTCCTTCATCTTTTTAAAAGAAAATGTGTTTCTCGAACTCTATTTATAAATATACGTGGCAATAATATAAAACACGGTTAACTGACTTTTGAGCCCTGTTTATAAATATTAGGAAAATCGCGTAAAATAATTTTATTGTTTAAATTTTTATTGAATTTCTTGGAATTTAGAAATTTATGGAATTCTTTCAACTCATTTTGTATTAAGTTTCTGAGTGATAAAAAAGACGATAATTCAATTTAAAATAAGTTACACACGAAGAAAGAGACATTGGAATCATGTGAAATTTTATTAGTTGCAACGTAATGACGATGGTAATAAGTAATTAGAATGTCGTAGCAAAAGGATAATTTTCTATGGAACAACGATACAATTAAAAGGAACTTTTAGTAAGTATCTTTTGCCTGGGTAAATGCGAAGATACGATCGGGTATGAAGGCATACAGGAGCCTTATGCTATCCTGCGACAGATTTGCCTAAAGATATTGCAACTGCCGCTCCAGATCCCTCATATTCGAAGATGGTCGAAGCCGGTATCTTATCTGGTCCCATAAATGCTCGATGAGCGAAGGATCTCCGCCAACAAATGTTGCAACACGATGGAGACATTCCTGGGAGACTCTAATTATGTGCAACTAAGCATTATCTTGCTGGAAAATGGCAGTTGCAGCCCTGCCAAGAAAGGCAATACGTGAGAATGATTTCCCGAAAGTACCGCCATATCGTCAACGTCCTTCACATCACTACTGGATGTCCAGACCAGTAGCGGAGGCAGTTGTGCCACTCAACAGTAAAGTCGAGATGGAAGTGCTCCTCCACATTAAGAAGATTGTCACCCATTACCAAACAAAACCGTGTTTCTGTGTCACGTCATCGCTGCAAACGAAATCGAAGATGTTGGGGTGTCAACTCCATCGTTGTTAGCATCATTGTTTGAAATCAGCACCCCAATATTGCTTCTGCTAAACGCCTGACAATGGTAGGGAAAGAAGCAGGGTTCTATAGTGAGACATATCTCTCTGGATGGTGTATCAGTAGAAAATTATCCTATAAGTGAACTAAACCATACTTAGTTAATTACTTCTTGACACCAAGTTCATAGATTTACAGCATAATTTACTACCGTTAACAATAGTAATATGGAAGGTCAATCTGTCCCTGACTATTTACTTAGGGTTTCCAGTTTAAGGAACTGAAATGAAAATAATTGTATATTAAATTCGAAGAACCTTGAAATTAATTGACACTCATGGCCTAAAAATATGTTAATTTGCTACTGTATCGTATTATTATTTTCTATAAAAACTTAAACAATTAAAATTTCCATAAAAAATAATTATTTGATAATTATTCATTTACTTGTTTACTTCTTTTATAAGAAAAATAAAATAAACGGTACGAGGAAAAAATTGCTAATGAAGTATTAAAAAAAGGGCTCATAATTTTACCTTCTGGGCGAAAAGTGTTAAATTAAAAGTAAATTATGGGCCGACCCATAATGGCCTTTTAAGTAAGCCCATTATAGGTGTCTGGCCGGGTGGTAAGAGGAGCCCGACATGACCAAACGACCACCCCCAAAAAATTCCTGCCACTTCAGATGGAATTTTTACATCAGTTTCGATACGTTCCCAGGTCCCCAGGGTTTGCACCTCCTCAACGGGTTGACCATATAAAGTTTCCCGTGGGAAAATAGCCTTTATTTATTTGTTAGACAGGTGAAGTTTTCCGAGTTTTCTTCACCTGTCTAAGAGATAAAAAGGAATATTTTCCCCACAGTAAGTTGTTCCGGGAGGCACTCTTTCCTGGCAGATTGCTCGAGTGTTACTTTGTCTTTTTTCCATTAATCTAATCCTAAACTCTAGAGATTTTGTTAAATTAATTAAAAATATCACATTATTTTCAATAAATCTTAACTTCTATTTATTTTTATCTCCATTAATCCAATTCTCTTGAACTAATCATCGATGCAAATTGATGGCTTGAGCATCTTCTGAAGTATCTTTCTTCAAGATGCAATGGATGCCATCGGAATATTTTGTCATTGACGTTAATTTCCTATTTTTCTAGGCTCACCAGTGGATAAAATCACTGAACAATAGTAGTTGTGGGTTCGCGCCTAGTCAATGGGCTGGCCACGAGGAGTTTTCTTCGCATTTGTAACACCTAAATAGGGGTCAGTTTCTCATATAAAGTCCTCCTGGGAGGGATTTTCCCTCATCGGCAGATCGCTCACGTGTCATATCACCAAATAAACTAACAAATCCTAAATTTCTTAATTATTTCCTGCAAATAATGCTAGTTTTTATGGTAAAACAGACCATTCTCTTATATTTTTTTCAAGTTTTATTATGCAAATTTACGTTTTGAATAAAAATAAACGTGGTTTATAACATATAAGCTCAAATATATAAGACTATATTCACGATTTTTACGTAACTAAAATGCTGTCATTATTCAATTACCGGTAACAAAATTGTTTATTGTTACAATAAAGGTTCATTTACTCAAGATTCGTTTAACATTATAACCTGTCTATTGTCTGTTCGAAGCATTCGTAAATATAACACATTTCGTAACAAGTGACGTTAATGACACGTCACTATTATATACGAGGTCAAGCGTAATATCATAAAAATTAGAATAGATGAAGTAACCACTGACGTCTGTACATATGGCGTCACGAATGACGCTATTGATGACTGGTTAAAAACTTTAATTGAAATTTCCTAGAATAAATTTGAAAGCAATTTTCCACTTTTAGTTTATTTTTTTTTCCAAAAGAACAGACAGACAAACGTTTCTATAAAAATTGTTTAATATACGAAGAAATCTGAGGTGTGAAGGATCAAATTAACGTAGAAAACTGTTATTTAAACGTAAAATAATTAAAAATAATTCAACTGCGCTAAATGGAGGGTTTAATTTATAATTTTAAAATACAATAGACCCCCCTATAACACTGTAGATAATTCCGTGTTGTACGAGTCACTTAGATTTTGCAAATACGTGAGCCGTTCACAGGCCGGCACACGTATTTGTAAAATATAAGTGACTCGTACAACATGGAATTCATATAACACGGAATTATCTACAGTGTTATAGGGAGGTCTACTTGTACTTTTTTTTTTTACAGATTTATATCAATGCAGAAGCTAGGATAAAAGGACTCTTCGATTCGAATAATGTAATGAAATTGAATTGCAAGACACTTCATCCAATGGTGCATTTAATGTGTCCTGTAGAAATGTGCTCCTTAATGAAAAAGAAACAGGTTGTTGCAACAAATTTTATAACAAATGATGCAGGCATTTTCTCATGCCCTCTTGAAAAGGTATAATTGTATTTTTAAATTAATCAAAAACTTTAATATTTGAAACTATATTTCTCGGTTGAAAAACCATCTTCTTCAAGTTTAAAATATTTTCCTCTATAGCACTATCCCTATTTAACAAACTTGTGGCGTTACTGAGTGACTAATTGAAGCGAGACATCAGCAAACGGTAGGTTTCATGGCCAACTATAGTCTGTTACGGGGGTTTTGATCAGCAACGGGATCAGTCAGTATTGATGAAGGGTACCTCAATCCTCTGATAAATTATGGAGCTCTGTATTGGGTTCGAGTGTCTGATGTTAGGATTAAGGCCATTGGATCCTCAAGGCAATAGGCTATCATAACGGTTTTCAATCTCTTTCTAATAGTGGCACCCTACTTTGTATTTTCTTGTGACACCCCCTACTTCTTTATCGACGTAGAGTTATTGTGCTTTTTTTTTGTAATGCACTTCAGGGCCGTCGAGAGTTGGGATTTATATGGAACCTAGGGGTAGAGTGGGCCCCATACAAGTTAGTTTTTTTTCCAAGGAACCGTAAGGGCCCCTGAGGTTTCTTTAGATCCAGCGAAAATGTCTTAACCCTCCTCTCGACGGCCCTGGAAATATTGTGGCGCTAATAGACACTATATTTCACGGTACCCCTAAAGTGTCTGCTCGATGTGCACTTGGGTACCAAACTGGGTTCACTTGGGTACCAAACTTGTTTTCAACTGGGGTACCAAAGCACATCAAGTGCTTTGGTACCCCAGTTGAAAACAACTCGGCTAACATCTTCCTATGAGAAATCTGGCCTCGTGAAGAAGGTGGTTCATAACCGAAGATGAAAAATATCCAAAAATAACTTATTAACAATATCTTTTCTTCTAGGGATTATTCTTTTACAGCAACATCATAATCGACAGTAAAATTCCTCCGAGTATTGCTCGTTTAATGACTAATGACTTAGAAGCAACTGCTTTCATATATGTGAAGAATAAGAATGATAAGAGATTGGGATGTGCCACAGTTGATATTACCGTGGAGAGTGCATAATTGTATGAAATATATTACTTCAATTCCTTAAACGAAGATATATTATATAATGTATTTGATTTAAAAATAAAATCAATTAATTGAATTAGTCTTAATATATTGCAAATGGTTTTATATGTAAAATATATTATAGACATCGCTTTTCAATTCCCTCTTGGTCCACCAGTGGCCGAAAGAATACTGGTCGTGGGTTCGCGCCTCGCCAACGAGATGGCAATGTAATTTTCCGGGTTATCTTCACGTATGTAACCCCTAAATAGGATCTAATCTCCATAGAAAGTCCTTCAATGAGGCATCTCTGTATAAATATACAGACAACTAATAACCCCTTAAAAATACGGTTTATACAAAGTGACATATTTTTATTGAACAATTCTATGTGTTAACACCTTGCACATCTTTCTATAAAGTAATTGCAAAGTTATGCAAAACGTAAAATAATATTTTATCGATAAAGCATTCAATTATTCAATATTCAATTGAGAAATCAACATCTGTGAATAGATAACTTCTTTTGAGATAAAAAAGAATAAATTACAGTTGTATCTGAAATTTCAACGATCACATTTTAAAATTAATCAGGTAATAAGAAACAATTATCTCATAAACCAAAGTCATTTTAAGGATATAAATTTAAATATTAATTGGAAAAATAATATAGTTACAGTCGATCCCCTATAACACTGTTGATAATTCCGTTTTATATGAATTCCATGTTATACGAGTCACTTAGATTTTACAAATACGTGTGCCGGGCTGTGAACGGCTNAGGCTTTTTAAGTGCATCATTCTCGAAACGGCTGTACCACACTTGCATTGAATCTAGAATAAGATATGGTATCGCTGTATGGGAAACCGCATCTCTATACGCTGTTAATAAACTTCAAATGGCACAAAATCGTTACATGCGTTCAATTTATAATTTAAACTTTATGGAATCATTATCTGAACTCTACCGCACCGATAATATTGACAAGATTAGTGAAATTTACAAGAAACAGATTACAGTCGATCCCCTATAACACTGTTGATAATTCCGTTTTATATGAATTCCATGTTGTACGAGTCACTTAGATTTTAGAAATACGTGTGCCGGGCTGTGAACGGCTCACGTATTTAAAAGGAATTTGGAGATAAAGAGCCTTGTTGGTTCTTTCTCTCCAAAATACGCCGCCTGGTGGTTAGATGAAGCGGCCCGTGCGTTTTTATTTCGAGAATATGGACGCATGTGTCGGATTAGCCGGCCTTATAGATGGAATGGCCATACGCGCGCGGAAAAATAATGTCTTTTAAGGGAAACTGGCCCCTATTCAGGAGTTACAGACATGAAGTAAACCCGGAAAACTCCACGTGGCCAGCCCGTCCGATCGAAGCGCGAACCCACGACCAAACTCCCAGTGTTCAGGGACGAAGACCGATTGGCCACGGCTTCTATTTACTAGGAACCTGCGCTGTAGATTTTGAGAAAGCTGTCTCCTGGTGATACATGTAAAACTTT